CTCGGGGTGTCTCTGGAGGTCCCTAGAGGTCATCGTGGACATCGGGAGGTCAGTGGACCTCTCCGGAGGCTGGTGGAGGACCAGGATAGGCCTATTCTCAAAGCCTAGATTTTTGAAGAGGGAGAAAAACACACAGACACAAATAATCGTCGATCCCCAGGAAATTATATGAAAATAGGGGAAATGGAGAGGAAGACGAAACTATAGAAAATGATGGAAAATAAGGGGAATCGTAGGGCTGTTGTCTACTTATGTGTGTGTGTGTGTCCCTGGGCACCTTTAGAAACAAGCTTGTTCTCAGAGCCTCGATCTTGCCTCTTCTAATCTCCGTCCCTGGGCCCGTCACAGGTGCCTTCTGACTGGGGCGACAGAGAGGCCCTGCAGGACGCCCGAGGCATGCGAGGGCCCGCTGTTTTGGCCCCACGCTGGGGAGCATGTGTTGTTTCCCCCTCGCGGGCACGACTTCCTGCTTCGGCGTTGGCACTTGCGGTCAGCGCATCTGCATCCTCTTCTCTGACATGGATCAGCGCGCGAAGGCGAAGAGAAGCAGACGTGCATCGGCGTACTCGCGGGCTGGTTTCCAAATGCGTGTTTTTGTTTCTCCGCAGCAGGCGCGCAGCACGTTGATATGAAAAAGTCTGCGCTCATCAATAGTATACATACATCGGTGTACATGTATGTCTGTCTGTATGGATGGATGGATGGATGGATCGATCCAGGTAGGCGAGTAGGTAGGTAGGTAGGTAGGTATGTAGGTAGGTAGGTAGGTAGGTAGGTAGGTAGGTAGGCAGGCAGGTAGGTAGGTAGGTAGGTAGGTAGGTCAGGTAGTTAGGTAGGTAGGTAGATATGTATGTATGTATGTATGTATGTGTTTATGTACGTATGTATGTATGTATTTATGTGTGCGAGGATTGATGGATGGATGGATGGATGTATGGATGGATGGATGGATGGATGGATGGATATATGTCACATTTCACATGTTTAGGCATAGCCCATCCTGGATCCCGCCGCAACTGCCACGCTCAAGTCTTTCCCTGCTGACAGGTCAGCAGGTGACTTCGGGACGCGCATCGGCAGGGGCCTGGTCAAGGCCTCTCGCTCTCCCCTTCTCAGAGGAGCTCCCCGCAGCAGGGGGCCGCTCGATGCCATGGCGAAGCCAGTCGGCGCCTGGTGCTGACGCCGGTGCTTCGTCAGGTGGTGTCGGACATGCTCAGGGCGGCCCCCGCCACGGCGCTGAAGTCCAGGCGGTGCTCGATCAGGAGGGAATGGAGGAGCCTCTCACCAGCGACACGGAGGTCGCGGACGACGACGCCGACCTCGAGGAGCTGAGGCACCAGACCAGCCTCCGCGGTCGCGCCGGAGCCACTGTGGCCTTCACAGCCGCGGCGGGCTCCCCGCGGGCCCCAGGCGAGTGGGAGGTCACGCCCGTGCTGCTGCCCGAGGCCAACAGCTGGGGCCAGGTGGAGGGGCCCGGCGCTTACGTCTCAGGCGAGGGCGGCGGCCAGACTCTTGGCGGCCGATCGCCCGGCCTGGCAGGCGGCGTGCCCTCTGGCCCGCGTGGGGCAGCACGCCCTTCGTCGACCGCCGCCCCGGTGCGCAACGACTTGCCGCTGGTGGGCGTCCTGAGCTTCTTAGACACGCCGGTACGACGGCGGTGGTTCGTCGCGACGTTGGACGGCGACGTGAGGGTGTTCCGTGCGCAGATCGCCGGCGCCACGCGCACCCCGAGCTCGGACGTCGTCCTGGGCTTCAAGAGCGAGGTGATGGTCGATGGGCGATCGCTTCGGGACTACGGCATTGTCGGCGAGTCTGAGATCGTCGCTACCCGCAAGATCCGTGGGGGCGGCGATTCGGGCGGAGGTTCAGAGAACGGACAGTCCTTCGGCTGGAGCTGCAGGCGGTGTTTGACTCCCAACAGGTGCGGACTTGAATGTGCGATGTGTGGGACACCCAACCCGAACCTGCCCAGCGGCGACTGCTTGAGCGACGGCCTGAGCGACTCAGATGACGACCTTGGGAGCGCGGTCGGGTGCGGCGACGATCCCAACCCCGACGTCATGGAGCCGCCGGTCGCAGCGGACCTCCAGGGGCCCAGCTTTGCAGCGGTTCTCGACCAGCACGGCGTGCTCTGGGCCGCACCCCTTGGCGAGGTCATCGGCGCCGGGGACGAGGCGGTCACGGCGGCGCCAGACTCGGCCCCAGCTCCGCCTGTCGGCGCTCTCGGCGCCCACGGCGGCGACGCCCTGCCGGCTCCGCTCGGCGAGGACAGCCTCGGTCAGGTCGCGGAAGCCGCGGGCGTCGTGGTCTTCGAGGGGGACCCTGGCCTGGCGCTGAACGGCCACCCGGCGCCGCCGCCCAGGCCCCAGCAGCTGATGGTGCACGTGTCACAGCTGATGGAGGACTCCGAGTCGGACTCCGACTGCCACGCGGGCGCCCCTCCCGGCCTGGGAGGTCCGGCGGCGCCGGCCGAGAGCCCGGCGGGCTCCGCGCCCAGCGAGCAGGCGGGGCAGCCGGCTTCGCCTAGCGGCCAGCCCGAGCAGCCCGGCATCCTCGGCGTTAGCCCGGACGCCAGCGTTTCGGTCGCGCAGGAGGTGCAGTCGCCAGAGGAGGAGGAGAGTTTGGCCGGCGCCGGCAGCGGCGCCGGCCGTGCCTCATGATGCCCCCAGGGGTCGTGAGGGGGGCGGCGCTGGCAGCCCAGGCGCCGACAGCAGCTCCTCACGGCCGTCACCAACATGGGCAAGAAGGGCAGCAAGTGCGAGGTGCGCCCGAACGCCAGGTGGAGGCCCGGGGCCCAGCCTTCACTCTTGATAGCCTTGGATGGCAGCAGGGTCCACCCGGTCTCACGAAGGTCGGCGGCACGAAACATCGTCGTGAGCTTCCTGACGGTCGCCATCGCGACATCTTTCCGCTCCCCATTCCTGAATCTCTTGCTGCTCATCCTGTTTCTGGTCCTCTGTCGCGTGCTGTGCGTCGTCGGGTCCTCCGCGCCGAGCATGATAAGCACCTCGCTCGTGATGCCATCGCGTCTCTCAACAAGACCTACGGCTGCGTCTCCTGCGGTAGTGAGTTTTCGAATGCCGGGCAGAAAGCAGCTGTAGATAATATCATTGCAACTTGCTGTGCGGTGGGGGGTCCGCCTGGGGACTCTGCCGAGCAGCTCTCTTTTTCCAAGGGAGCCCTTTCGGCGCTCCTTGATGGCTCCGCCCTGTACTCATCAGATGGGGGGGCGGTGGCTTCCTTCCAGCGAGACCTAGTCTCTTGGCCCGCCGAGCAGGTCGACCCGGTGCCACTCGAGTCGCTTGCGACTGGGCCTGTTTTGAAACAGCTGGAGGCCTGGCAGCACCAAATGCTTCGCCCGGAGTCGGAGGCACGGGCCCTGCAAAAAGAAGTTTGCCCACGGGGACCTCACATGGACCCCATCCTGAAGAATTCGCCGTGGCGGTATGCTGAGTTTTTGGCCGACATGTCTTCCCGGGGGATGTTGTCCTGGGAGCGCGCCATGGGGCGGCAAGGCAATCTCGGGCTGTTTTTTGTGAAGAAGAAAAGCGGCGCACAGCGCATCATTTTCGATACCAGAGTTGCTAATTGCAGGTTCGTCGACCCCCCGTCGACGCGCCTCCCCTCCCCGTCTGCTTTTGCCTCCCTTGAAACCGAGGGGGGCCCTCTGTATGTGGCGAGCGGAGATCTGGATGTGGCGTTCTATCATATGCAGCTTCCTAGAGGAATGGAACATTTGTTTAGTCTGCCCTGTATAGATTCCTCTTACCTTCAGAAGTTCAACATCCCTGGAGTCCCCGACGGGGCCGGCGTTACTATGTTACCATGCGTGCAGGTGCTACCCATGGGCTTCTCGTGGGCTCTCCACCTATGCCAGAACGTCTTAGAGGGGGCCTTGGACAAAGGGGGCTTCAGGAGGGACGAGCAGGTGCTGGACGGCAGGCCAGGGGTGGTTCTGAGGTATCCTGGGGACACTGCTTCGGCTGCGTATGTGGACAACTTTCTCACCTTGGGGCAGGATCCTGGGGCAGTGGCCAGTCGTCTCTACAATGTCGTCAAGCTGTTGCGGGGGCTGGGCCTGGTCGTGCACGAGCTTGAGGGGGCCAGCAGGGACCGTGAGTTCTTGGGGATGTCGCTTCGAGACGGTCGATATCTCTCGGTCAAGAGTCGAAACGTCTGGAGGCTTCGCTACGCCTTGGACGACTTGCTGGCCCGTCCGAGGGTGAGCGGGCATCTTTTGCGGGTTGTCGCCGGTCACATCACTTGGACGAGCTTGGTCCGCCGCGAGTGTCTGTCTCTGCTGCACGCCACGTACGCCTTCATTCAGGCCGCGGGGTCGTCCCCGCGTCCTCTGTGGTCTGCGGTGAGACAGGAGCTCGAGAGTGTCCGCAACCTGCTGCCCTTGCTGTGCGTTGACCTCCAGGCAGAATGGCATCCCTACGTTGCCTGCACAGATGCGTCTCCGTTCGGTCTTGGGGTTGTTCGCCGCAAGTTGAGCCGGGTCCAGGTCCAGGAGCTAGGCCGTCAGAAGGAGAAGTTCCGATTCAAGACCGAAGGAGGAGCCCAGGCCCGTCACCGGGCCTTGGAGGCTGTGGGGGTGGATGAGGAGACCGCGATGATCCTGGAGCATGAGGAAGGGCCCCGGTGGGCCTGTGACGCCAGACCACCAGACGAAGAGGCCCTGGAGGTGACGGAGTTCTCGGAGGTGCCCAAACGTCTTCTGCGTCCGGGGTGCTGGAGCTGTGTGTCGGCCACGCATGTCGAGATGGGTCCCAACATACTGTTTCTGGAAGGTGAGGCCCTTGTCATGGGCTTCAAGAACATCCTCAGGAGTTGCAGGGCCCACGGCCGTCGTATCCTGATCCTCTCGGACAACCTTCCTCTGGTATTGGCGGCGGGCAAGGGGCGCGCCAGGTCTGTTCACCTTCGCCAGTGCCTTTATCGTATATGTGCTCTGTCGCTGGCTACGGGCTCGAGACTCGCCGTCCGGTGGGTGCCATCGGAGCTCAACCCAGCCGACCCGGTCTCTAGAGGCGAGGTCGGCTGGTTCTCGGGCGCTCGTGCGTATGAGCCGCCAGGGCCGCTGGGCAACTTCGTGCCCGTGGCTGCTGCGGTTGGCCACAGTCCGATGGATGCTGGTGCCGCCGAGCGCGCCGGAGGCGCAGACTGCCCGGGCGGCTCGCGGGGCTCCGGCGGCCCTTCGCTCGCCGCGCCACCGGGGCTGGGCCTCTGCGGTGGGAGTGGGCGCGCTGCTGGTGGGCTGCTTCCTCCTGCCGCACCGACTGGGCGAGAGCGGCAGCATGGGGTGGCGGCTCTGGGCGACGCTCAGCCTGGTCATGCCCTTCCTTCTCCAGGCCGCGCCCCGGACCCTGCCGCCGATCAAGCGGTCGGGGCTCGCACGGGCACGCCTCGGATGCAGCAGGGGCACGGGGCGCCGCCGTGGCCCCAGCCCCGCCCGGCCGTCAGCGTCGGCGGGGCAGGCGTACCACCAGTGGGCGCTCTTGCCGCAGGACATGACCGGTCAGCTCCCGATCAAGGCGGCCCTCTGCAGGGAGACGCCGACCCTCGGCCGCGCGGGCCGTATCCGCCCGCGCCCGGAGGCTCCGCCGTCGACCACACCGGCCGAGGCGGCATCGGTGTACCCTGTCAGCGGCGTGTACATGATGTTCTTCGCCCAGCCGACCGAGCAGTGGCCGCCAGGCCGCCGGCTGCCCCAGCAGCCCCCTCTTCACCAACGAGGGGCTGTGCGGGGCATCACCCGCGACCGCTGCCGGGCAAGGCGGATGCCGTGCCATGGCCAGAGCTGCCACTTGAGCCGCGTGAAGCCGCAGGCGAGGAAGTCGAGGCTGCCCACCGCCCTGCACTGGCCGCCGGCCGTCACTCTCTCGTCCGACTCGCCTGTCGGAGCGAGATTCGCGATGGAGAGCGAGGGCGACCTCGACGGCCGGCCGCATCCGCTGCGCTCCCAGCCGCCCGCCGCCCTGGCCGGCCTGTCCGGCGACCTGCCCAGCCTGGCGGTGGCGGGCAGCTGCGGCCGCAGGCGGCGGCGAGGCCGGCTGCGGCAGTGGGGTCCGTGCGGGCCCACATGCTGGCTGCCTTCCGCAAGGCCGTCGGCGAGGGGCGGCTGCACAGGCGCCTCGTTTTCGTCGAGCTGTTCTGTGGCGCGGGCTGCATCACGGCGTCGTTGAAGGCGGATGGCTTCTCCGCAATCGGCTTCGACATCGGGCGGGGCGCTCGTGAGAATCACTTGGTGCATGAGTTTTTTGAGGTGCTTCAGGGGTGGATCACTTCAGGCTGCATAGCCGGCATCTGGCTTGGTACGCCTTGTACGACCTGGAGTCAGGCCCTTCGTCGACCTCTGCGCTCACGGCGACATCCCATGGGGTTGCCAGGGCTCTCGGTCGGCGAGCAGGCGAGGCTGGAGGTGGGCAATTTGACCTTCAAGTTTAGCTGCAAGGTCATCCGCTTAGCCGTGAAGTGGAACATCGCCGTGTATCTTGAGAATCCAGCGGGCTCGTTGATGTGGCACGCTCCCGAGCTGGCCCGGCTTTTGCATGCGCCGTGCGCTCAGAAGATCCAGTTGCACATGTGCCAGTTCGGGGCGCCGTGGCGGAAGGCGACTTGCGTCGCCGCCTGGAACTCGTTGCCTTTGTTGAAACTCAGTCTCCGATGTTCTGGTCGCTCTGGCATGTGCTCTAAGTCGCACAAACCGCATGTGATATTGTCTGGACACGCCCCCCACGGTCCTCACTTCACTCGTCTGGCAGCTGAATATCCCATGGGATTCGCACAGAAGTTCAGCCGGGTTATGGAGAGGTCTTTTGAGGATAAGCGTGCTCGGAAGTTTTCAAAATATGCTGTTGACGTGGCCTATGGGAATTGAAGTATATATATTCGGCCGCCTCTTGCATACCTGTAAGTCGGCCAGTTCACCGTACGGGTACGGGTGTGTGCTCTCGGCTTGGCGTTCCTCGGCATCGACGTATCGAAGTCACTGGCCTGGTCAGCCCCTCACACAAAAATGAGCCTGGCGGGAGGGAACGGTTAGGCGAGCTGTCACATTTCACATGTTTAGGCATAGCCCATCCTGGATCCCGCCGCAACTGCCACGCTCAAGTCTTCCCGCCCTCCCTCCCCTCTCGCGTGCCTTTGTGGGTGTGTGTCTGTGCCGTGCCTCTCTCGCCTCTCTCTTCTCCTTTTCAATGCTCAGCAAACTGTAATGCAATCTCTTTATGCAGGGTGTGTGCTCTCGGCTTGGCGTTCCTCGGCATCGACGTATCGAAGTCACTGGCCTGGTCAGCCCCTCACACAAAAATGAGCCTGGCGGGAGGGAACGGTTAGGCGAGCTATATATATATATATATATGTGGTTATGTATCTGTATGTATGCATGCACGTATTCATGTATGTATGCATGTCGGTATGTATCTATGTATGTCCCCCATATATGTATATGCACACATGCACAGCGATACATTAACATATATCCCGTTGGGCGACCGCCTAGGGCCAGGCCCAGGGACCACCGCCCCCCATGGGAGGAACCGGGGTGGCGCAATCTATGTTGTGAGCGATCAGAAAGCTTGCCGCAGAAGTTTTTTTTTCTTTTTCCGTGCGACCGATGTGGTGCAATCCAGCGGTTGCGACGAGGCGGCGACGAGCCGGCGACGAGGCGGCGACGAGGCGGCGACGGGGCGGCGACGGGGCGGCAAAGGCCTGCACGGAGCCGCCATACCGCCCACATGGCCCAGAGGTTCAGTGCAGGTACAAGACGCCCTGATTGCAATCACTGTTTCGGGGATGTGGTGGGATTTATGATCTGAGCGAGAGGCGCGCCGCAGGCTCGATTTGTTTCGTGCCGTCTATGTGGTGCAGTCCGACGGCGGTGACAGGGCGGCGACGGCGACAGCATAAGTAGCCGTCAGACCGAAGACGCGGCCCAGTCGACGGGCGGCGACGAGGCGGCGACTGGGCGTGCTATCTACGTGGTGCAATATATGTGATGCAATCTGTGATGACGCAAGAGATGTGGTTGTGCAGTTCACGTGGTGCAATGTATGTTGTGCGACACCTGTGGGTCATTGTATGGTCCAAGCGAAAATCGCCGCAAGCGCGAACTTCTAAAGTGCTATCAGCGGAGACGGTTGAACCCAACGGTGGCGACGAGGCGGAGACAGGTCGGCGACGGTGACAACATAGCTGCCAGGCGACAACATAGCCGCCAGACCGAAGAGGCGGCCCAGCTCTGTAAATCCGAAGTAACAACCCCTATCTGCAAGCAGTGCGTGGGGGGGGGGGGGGGCAGTATGTGATACCGCGGCAGCTGCAGTCGTTACAAACACGGAGCTGCATCTGCAGCATCAGCTTCAGCGTCGCGAAGGACGTTTGACTCGCGGCCTTGGCCAGAGCACAGACTTGTGTATGCAGTGCGCGCTTCGTGGGCACGACATACCTTTAACAGTTTTGACATGATTGAGCGTGGTTCAGCATGGTTCATTTTAACAGTAATACGCTAAGGTCAGTCCCGCTAACCAGTTACCAAGTAAATCATTGTATAGCCGTGGCATTATCAGCTTAAAAAAAATGAGCAGACGCATGATAACACACATGCAAATATGTGTATGTATGTGTGTATGTGCATATATGTGTATGTGTACATGTATGTATATATGTACATACATATATATATATACATGTATATATACACATGTATATAGATAGGTATTTCAAGTGCGTGTTATATGGCGTACCCATCTTAATTATTCGTTCTCTCAAACTCATATAAGTGTGGCCCAAACGGGGCACGACCGGTGTTCGTTTCTCCCCCCCATGTGTCGCCGCTCCCCCATTAGCAAACGCCCGACCGCCGCAATCTCGGAGGCTGGGCCTGGGCTTCGAGCACACGATGATTTTCACCGGGATCAACCACAGCGGCTGGATGGACAGTGGGGTCGGGGTGCGTAGAGGGAGGGTTATCCCAAGGTGGGGCCGGGAAGCGGGCCCAGCTGGATGTTCTCGTTTAACGCGTGTCCCTCTTCCAGGGGCCGCTCGGAGCGATTCCCCTTCCAACCCTACCTGTGCCCCAACCTCACCTCTGTTCCCCCCCTGGTGGGGGCGCCAGTAGCAGCCCGAGGAGAGCTGAGGCAACGGCGGTCGGCCTGCGGGGAGCCCCTTCGTCGCCACGGCTGGGCGCAGCTCGGGGAAATTGGTGCGTTTGGACCCCTGGAGGTGTCCGTCAGTCTCGTTGAACTGATCCAAATTCCCCTATCCCGATCCCCACCACCCCACCACCCCAGCTGGGGATGTGCCCCTCGAAACCCCCAGGGAACAGCCTGCATCCCCATCTGGGGAGGCAAATCGGCCAGGTGGGCTAGGGATAGGTACTCCAGATTTCGTAATAAAAGGGAGGGGGTCTGGACCCTCCAAGACAAGCCATTTCAGACCCCCCCCCGTGGGAGAACCCTCCAAAACATCGTCCCCAGACCCCCCCCGGGCCCTCCAAGAAGGCCTGGAAGGGACCCCCCCGAAAAGAGACCCCCTCCCTGTTATTACGAAATCTGGAGTATGCACGAGGCTCAGCCCGGAAACAGAGGGGGGGGGCAGGCCCAACCTCGCCGGATCGGAACCTGGGTGCCCCAAGCTTCCAGCGAGCGTGGAGTTCCCCATCGGATGCCTATCGCCGTTCTGTTTGCGATGTATCGTCGATTCCATGCCATTTTGTATCCATGGAGCCAGTCCCCCCCTTTTCTGGCTCACCTTACCAACAGGGGCTCAGCGAGAGAGAAGTCACTAGCCCAAAACATACCCGGACCCGGGGTCAGCTGGGGTGAAAAGGGCCGCCCGCTAGAGCGTTTTCGGCCTTGCCGCCACCTCGTCTGGGTACGGGTCGGTGCCCGAAACAACCATACATACCCGGACCTAGCTGGGGTGGTGGTTGGGTCACCCCGTCTAGGTACGGGTATGTATGGTGGTTTCGGGAGCCGACCCGGACCCAGGGGGGGTGATGCCCCGAGGGCCCCTTGCCACCCCGTTTGGGTAAGGGTACGGGTATCTTTCGCGCTCGAGAAGAAGGAAAAGGAGGCGGAGGCAGATGTTTGAGATTAGAGATTCGGTGTTTGGACGTGTTCCGTGTTCTTGTCGCAGCGCGCCCCAGGAGCTTGAGAGTAAGTTTTCGAGGGCGATAAGGAGGGAAGAGGAAGACAAACGATCGAGGTAATTTTGTACGCGCATGGTCGACTTTTTGGCCTTCCGTGGGGATTTGGATGTTTCCGGGGGGGCTCTCCAGAGGAGGGGGAGGATGAGCATGAGGACAAGGTGAAGGCGGAGGATGAGGAATGAGATCAGGCAGAAAAGGGCAGGAGGGTCAGAATGAGGCGGCAAATCAACAGGGTGAGGAGGAGCAGGAGGGAGATGGGGGAGCAGAATCGGGAGGAGGCAGAGCACGAGGGGAAGGAGGACAAGAGGGAGACGGTGACAGGGGGCGACAGAGGACCATAGTAAACTCAGGCTCAGGACGCATGACTGATGCTGCAGTTGGCCCTCCCATCTCAAGTCCCCTCTTGGTTGCGGGAAGCTCCCGCTCGAAAGTCGGGAGCCCCGTGGCTCCGCCATTCAGGCGAGAGCCTCGCCTTGCCATGGTATTATCATGCTGCGTGGTTCTACTGCATACCTCGCGGACAGGTTTTTGCGGCTTGCACTTATGGTTGTGATGTTCGTTTGCGTCGACCCACATCTGGCAATCTGTTTTGAGGATGTCCCAGCGAGAGTCCAGCGTTGAACACGAGCACCCCCCCGCCCCTTGAATTGCAGAACAGCTCTAGACTCCCGGTGCTTGGTTTAGGAGCTCTCAAGCGGGGGGCCAGTTTGAAAAGGATTTGTCCTCCCTGAGTGTGGGTGTTGGAAGCCTTAGGACGGATGTGTCCAGCGCTAGAGCGAGAGCCACCCCTTAGTATTCTTACGACTACCAATGAGACTGTTGCTACGACCGTTGTTGCTGCTCCCACTGCGAACCTAGCTATACTTTCGAATGTAAGTTTCTTGACATGCTTCATCATTTAGCGTGCAACCGATAACTGCTTCCGTACACAACGTGCCTTGCAAGATTGTGCATGGCCGTTTGTACCACATATTTTGCCCCCAGTCGTGTTGCGCCACAGCGAGTGCGCAGCATGTATGGTACGTCATGTGTTGCACGACGTGGGTTGCATGTCATAGTTCACGCTGGATGTGTTCCTCGTCTGCGGAGCGCCCGGAGGGCATTTTGTTTCACAGCCTGCGCCGCACAGCTTTCTCTCTTTGCAGCGTGAACCACATCACTCTGCACACCTCCTCCTCCTCCTCCTCCTCCTCCTCCTCCTCCTCCTCCTCCTCCTCCTCGTAGAGTGCACGACGTAGCTGCACCGAGCACTCTGTATCCCACGTGCTGCACGACCCTGGGCGCGCGGCGAGGGTGCAGAGAGCAGCCGACTGAGGGGGCCATTCTGGCGAGCATGCTCCCCGGCATTCGGTCTCGTTCCCTGCACCCCTCGGAAAATATCCAAACTCGAATCTGCGCAGCGCTGAGGCGGGAGCCACATTTTGAAGACGCGCTCCTCTCCATCCTCAGACGTGTCGCATGCCTTTGGGACGAGTGCGAAGGGCGCTGAGGCGAGATTCGCTTGTCGGGACTCACCGCCCCCATGTTTGTATGTGTTGGGATCTTCCAACACACGAATGAGCGTGGCGCGAATGTGAGAACTACATTTGACAACAACCGCTCTCCATTCATGGACTGTCGGAAATTTGAAATTCTTCACGCTTCGCGCATCCCCACCAGCCCTTTCACAAACCCTGCCCATGAGAGCTGACGGGAAAAAGGGACGAAGAGACACACATGGTGAAATAAAGCGGGCAACCAGGGTGAACAGAGAGATCTCTGGAGCGAGGGGGTGGCCTTGGAGGACCTCTTCGTGCCTCACTGTCGACGACGACGACGACGACGTCGACGAAGACGGACAACGGGCGACGGACGACGATAGCAACGACGACGATGACAACGGACGACGACGGACGACGGAAGGCGGACGGCGAAAGGCAGACACCAGACAAATAACGACGAAGACGATGGCGAAAACGGGCGAGGCACGATGGACGAGGGACGACAGACGACAGACGATGAGGAGAAGGCGGAGCAGTAGGGGGAGGAGGACGACGACGGCGACCGCGACGACGAGGAAGAGGAGGCAAAACAAAGGAGCACGATGAGGGCAAGGACGAGGACGAGGAGGAGGGGAGGAGGAAGACAACGAGGACGAGGACAGATCCCTCAAAATCGATCGCCTCTTGCCGCCATCTTGGGACTCTTTCGGGGAATCTCGGGCTCCTCTTGCGGCTCTTCCGGTCGGTCTTGGGGCTCTCTTTGGGGCCTGTTGGGAGCTCTGGATGGCCTCCCGGAGCCATCTTGGAGAGCGTCGGTGAAAAGAGTGGGCTCGGAGCGTTTGGCCCCCCCCCCCCCCCCCTCCTCCCCTCGAAGGGGGCCATCAACGTCGCCTCTTGGGGCCCTCTTGGGACGCTCCTGGGCCGATCTTGTGAGCTCCTGCGGCCGTCTTGGGGACCTCTTGGGCCCCTCCTGGGCCTCTTTTGGGCCTCTCTTGGGGCCCTCCCAAGGCCTGAACAGCGCATCAGAAGCGAAAAGGCGCGAAGGCACAAATCACTGACCTCCTCAAGGTTTTTGAAGGCGTCTTGGGGGGATCCTGATGGGGGCTCCGACAGCACTTGGAACCGTCTTGTGGCCCTCGTCGGGCCTCTTCGAGGCATGTTGGAAGCTATCTTGAAACATCGCCGGTTATCTGGAGCCATATTGGAGGCCATCTTGGAGCATCGGAGGCCCTCTTGGCGCCATCTTGGGCCATCTCGCGCACCCGAACTCATCGCGGCACACCCCCAAAAAATGCACGGATGGGGAGGGGGAGCGTACCCTTCCCCGAAGGGAAGAAGGTGTTGGAAGAGAGCAGCCAGATATCACCAGAGCGCCTTAGCCCGATGTGTTAGTGGAACTATGTAAGTCTCAGGAGAATATCCCGGTCGGCCCTACCGACGCGTCTGGTGGTGTTGCGTGGAGACGCTCTGCGTGATGACGAGGGAAGGACGAGGAGGAGGAATAGAAGGATGAGGAGGAGGAGGAGGAGGAGGAGGAGGAGAAGGAGGAATCAGAGTAGAGGGAGGTAGAGAAAGGGGACAAGGAAGAGGAGGAGGAGGGCGGGAGGAAGTATTGGAGGGGATGTGAAGGAGGAGGAGGAGGCGGAGGAGGAGGAGGAGGGAAGGAATAGTGGGAGGCGGCGGAGGAGGAGGACCATTGCAAACCCAAGACCATCTCTGATGTTTGCATAGCCCCTCCCTCCAAGCTCCCTTCCTAGGCCCCTATAAGGTTTCATGTCCACTGAGGAAAGTACCCCGTTGTGAGACAACCGCCTCAAGCTCCTGAGGCGCGCCACAGCACCATTCCCGGACCATTCCCTGAAATTCAACGACGCGAATAAACCTGATTGGTTCGTCTTGACGATCCTCACTCGTGGCAGAACATTGTTCCTGGGACTTCACACCGCAGATCAACATAACTACTGCGCCCTGACAATGTTGATCCGCTGCAGATCATGGCAGCTGGTTCGTTATTCGTGGGGACGCGTGAAATTCTTGCACATGTTTAAAATGAGTGTGCGCGGAGCCAAGGCGGGAGCCACATTCGTGAAATTCGTACATGGTGTTGAGTCGAGCGTGCGCGTCGCGAAGGCGAGATCCACATGTTGAACACCCGCCCTCAATCCGTGCAACTCTTTGCGGGTTCCTAGAGCGAGTCTGCGCAGCGCGAAGGCGATGGTCAAATCTTGAAAGCCACCCGCCTTCAACCCGTTAAACTCCTGCAGGTGTTTAAAATAATGCGCGCGGCGCTAGGGCGAGAGCCACATTTTGGAACGGAGCCGCGATCAATCCTTGGAAATGCTGGTTTTCATTAAGTAGGGTGTGCGCGGCGCTAAAGCGAGAACCACATCTTGAAAACCACCCACTTTCAATCCGTGGAAATCCTTGCAATTGTTTAAATTGAATGCACGTGCCGCGGAGGCGAGAGTCACATTCTGAAATGGATACGCGTGTAATCCGTGAATCATTTGCACTTCATTAGGTGGAGCGTGCGCGGCGCGAAGGCGCGAGCCACACATTGAAAACCATTCGCCCCCAATTCGTGAAATTCGCTGCAAACTCTCAAAACGAGCGTGCGCGGTGCTAAGGCGAGAGCCACATGTTGAAAGCCACCACCCCTCAATTCGTGAAGCTGCTGCTGTTGCGAAGTCCGATGTGTAAGGATCGTGAGTGGTAGGAAGTATTAGGGGATACGCCTGGCCTTTCCTGCCGACTGGATTCGGGGAGAAACAGGAAGACGTTGCACAGAAGGAAAAAGATTTGAGGAGGAGGAGGAGGCGGAGGAGGAGGAGGAGTGTGAGGGGGCGACGAGAAGATGTTTCGGGGCCTCAAGACCGTCAGCATCGACACAGGATGAAAAGCCAGCCCTGGGGACGAGGCCGACTAGTCTGCGGGCGGATTTTCAAAATAAATGTCGTCTCTCGGAGGCCTGGATTTTTACTTGTGCTCAGCCGTGTATCGCTGCTGCAAGGGGCCCGCACCCGTGCCTTCTTCGAGCTCGCGAACCTCACCAGACGAGGGCGGGGTTGTTCCGCTCACCTGAATCCTCCCACCTTTTCCTCTGCCTCCCCCTCCTTCCGTTATTTCGCCCCCTCCCCTACCCTGAGGATTGCAAGAATCCTCCCGTCTTCCCTTAATTGTGAAGGCCTTGGGGCCGGTGCCGCCGACCCTGAATGGCGACGACGACGACGACGACGACGACGACGACGACGACGACGACGACGACGACGACGACGACGACGACGACAACGACGACGACGAACTCTCTCGGGTGCCTCTTGGGGGTAGTTTGGGGGCCTCTTCGGGGTAGTTTGGGAGCCTCTTGGGAGGCTCTTAGGGGGCCGCTTGGGAGCCTCGTCTGGGCCTTTTGGGACTTCCTGGGGGTCTCTTCGGAGCCTCTTAGGGCCTCTTGGGGGGCTTCTTAGGGGCTGCAAGGTGCCCGCACCCGTGCCTTCTTCGAGCTCGCGAACCTCACCAGACGAGGGCGGGGTTGTCCCGCTCACCTGCCTCCTCCGACCTTCTTCTCTGCCTCCCCCTCCTTCCGTTATCTCGACTCCCCCCCTACCCTGGGGATTGCAAGAACATTTCCGTCTTCCCTTAATTCACCTACGAAGGCCTTGGGGCCGGTGCCGCCGACCCTGAAGACAACGACGACGACGACGAGGACGAGGAGGAGCAGGAGGAGGAGGAGGAGGAGCAGGAGGAGGAGGCGGAGGACGCGGTGGAGCCGCAGGACGAGGCGGAGGATGCGGACGAGGATGAGGAGGGGGAGCAGTGGCACGGGGAGGACGAGGGGAGGAATGAACAGTAGGAGGACGAGGAGAATGGGAGCCGGAGGAGTAGGAGACGAAGGAGGACGCGGAGGAGGGGATGAGGAGGAGGAGGAGGAGGAGTAGGAGGAGAAGGAGGAGGATGGGGAGGAAGAGGTCGAGGTAAGGTTGCGGCGGAGCACTTGGGGAAGAGCACGCGGGGGAGGGGAGGGAGCATGATGAGGAGGATGATCAGGAGTATAATGATGATGATGATGATGATGATGATGATGATGATGATGATGATGATGATGATGATGATGATGATGATGATGATGATGATGATGCTGATGATGATGCTGATGCTGATGATGCTGATGATGCTGATGATGATGATGATGATGATGATGATGATGATGATGATGATGATGATGATGATGATGATGATGACGATGACGATGACGATGACGATGACGATGACGATGATGAGGAGGAGGAGGAGCAGGAGGAGGAGAAGGAGGATGTGAAGGATGGGGTGAGGAGGAGGTAAAGGGCGAGAAGGAGGAGGACGAGCAGGGGGAGCAGGCGGAGGAGGAGGACGCGGTGGAGCAGGAGTGTGAGGAGTAGGAAGAGCATGCGGAGGAGGATGAGGAGGGGGAGTTGGGGCAGGAGGAGGTCGAGGAGGGCAATGAGTAGGTGGAGGACGATGAAGACGAGGCGGAGGAAGGGGAGGAGGAGGGTGAGGAGCATGGGGGGAGTGGATACTTGCCGGGGTCTGTTCGGAGCGCTTTCGAGGGCCACTGGCAGGCAGTTTTGGGGCGCTTTGGGAGACTCTTGGGGGGCCTCTTCGGAGCCTCTTGGGGGCCTCCGGAGGCTTCCTGGGGGCTTCTGGGGTCTCCTGAGATCTTCCCGGGAGCGGGGGCTCGAGATGTCCGTTCGGGTCCCCCGTCTGGGCACCCTCTGAGAGGCGCCTTGGGTGCTTCTCGGCCTGTCTTGGAGGCGTCTCGGCCGTCTGGGTGCCCTCGTGGGCCATGTGGGAACCTCTTGGAGGACTGGGCGGTCGTGGTGCGATCTTTGGGGCCTCTTGGGCCGTCTTGGGGCGTCGGGAAGCGGAAGAAGCGAGAACGCCAAGATCATTCCAAAGGCTAAGTCGAATTAATGAATGTTGCCTTTCTTCTGGGGAGTGCTTCTGGAGGCCTCTCGGGACGTCTTGCAGGTCTCATGGTCCGTTTGGAGGCCGTCAAGGCGTCTTGGACAGATCGTTCGGCGATTCGGGGCCCTCTTGGACCGTCTTGGGGGCCACTTCGGGCACTCTTGGCCCGTCCTGGGGCTTTTTGGTGACCCGGGGCCCCTCACCTACTCCTGTTTCGTTATTTTGTTTCCTCCCGTCTCCTTCCCGGCCCTGAGGACTGTAAGAGAACCTGTGGCAAGCTTAACAAGAGGACGATTCTTCATCCGCAGTCTTCGAAGAAGCTCGTGTGGGATCTGCTTGGGGTCCTCGCCGTCGCTGTGGACTTGATCTTCACACCACTGCTATTCTTCGATTTGAAAGAAACTGTGGTGTTGAATGTCCTCAACTGGCTGGTCAATGCTTTTTGGACGTGCGATATATTTGTGACCTTTCGTACGGGCTTCCTCAAAGAGGCCAAGGTCGTACTGGATCCTCGTTTGATCGCATGGCAGTACGCGACTGGGTGGCTGTGCTTTGACATGCTGGTCCTACTCCCAGAATGGATGACCGTTTTGAGCGGAGATTCTTCGCCCTCGGGGAGCGTGTCTGTGTTGCGGCTAGCCAAATTGTCCAGGCTCATGAGGTTAGCCCGGCTGGTGAAAATTAAGAAGTTGATTTACGCTTTGCAGCTCAGAGTCAATTCGAATCGAGTCATGCATTTTCTTCGCGTGGCCATGATGATTTTGGGCGTCTTGGCAACCTCGCACGTCATCGCTGGCTTGTGGTGGTGGATCGGAAGCGACAACAACGGTTGGCCGACATCTTCTCTTCTCGATGGCAGTTTAACTGACAAGTACTTCGCGTCGCTGCACTGGGGAATCACGCAGCTACACGGATCGATGCACATCTCAGCCACGAACACAATGGAACACATTTTCAGTGCAGCTGTGTTGCCTATGTGTCTTGTAATGGTCTCTCTCATGGTGAGTACGATAACTACGGATCTCCAGCAGATGAAGGACTTCAACAAAGACGTGATCGCTCAGAAGATGGTGCTCTGCTCATTCCTTGAGAGGAACAGGATATCACAGAAAACTTCAGCGCGCTTGAAGATCTGGCTCGAGAAGGCCGCGCTGAACAGGCAGGAGCAGGACGATGACCAGCGGCTCATGGAGCTGCTCCCCATTCACATGCAGCAGGAGAGCTCTTCTCAGCCTCCCTCTTGCTCTGGTTTACAGTCCCCTCTATAGAAGCAGTCTTGCGAACGGGCCCCACCCTTCATGACTATGTGACTGCGTGAGGCTTCCTGGGGCTGTGACCCCACATGTAGAATGGACGCTACGTCAACAATCATGCCAGCTGCACGTGAGTGCCCAAGATCATACAAACAAGTGAGCAGGATGTGAGCGTGTGGTGTGTAAGGTGTGTGTGTGTGTTATGTTTGTTGTGTGTAGTGTGCTTGTGGTGTGCGTTGTGCGTGCATGTGTGTTTGTGTGTTATGTGTGTGCGTTCTCGGCGGCTTATGTTTGTATGTTATGTGTGTTATGTGCGTTTGGTGTGTTGTGCGTTTGCGTTGTGTGTGGTGCTTGTGTTTGTTGTTGTATGTTTCATGTGTGTTGCGTGCGCATGCGCGTGTGTGTGTGTGTGTGTGTCCTCTGTGTGTGTGTTATGTGAGTGGTGTAGGTGTTCTGTGATTGTTTGTCGTTTGTGGTGTGTTTCGTGTGGTGTGTTTTGTGTGTAGTATCTGTGTGTGTGGGTGCTGCACGTCGGGGCTCGAATAGGGGAGGATGTCCCAGGCTAACACGCATGTGCTCTGATAATCGTGCTGGGAAGGGGATCGATTTAGGGAGATGTCTTACGCGAAATGGCAGTGTGTTCTAAGAGCGGCGTCCACAATCATTGACACCCATTGTGATTTTGACGGTTGTCTGGTAACATGTTTACGATCCGATGTGCTGATGAAACATGACGCCGCGCTCTGCGGGATGGGAGCGCCCGATCTTCAGAATGTCGAGAGCGTCGCGAGCGGAACGGCCAGACAACAAACAACATTGCTTCAATTGGTCGCCTCTAAGCTCTACTCCGGCGCGGCGGCCCGCCGCATGCTACTACGTATATGTAGACTTGCAATGCACCTGGGGGTTCTGCTTCGTCTGTGTTTGAGACTTCGTTTTCCCAACCCCCCTTGATTGGGTATTCGTTTTGCATGGAGGACTGCGGTCGCGTCCTCCTCCCGCCTCCTGCCTCGCGCCTCCTGTCTCCCACGGGACCTCGCCGTCCCTGGGGGGGGGGGCGATCTGCGAAACCGTCGCCACTTTCGAGGGCTGCTGGTGGGTCCGACGGGGTGAGGCACCGCGCAGATCTGAGCGAGACCTCGCCGTCCCTGGGGGGCTGCGATCTGCGAAACCGTCGCCGCTTTCGAGGGCTTCTGGTGGGTCCAGCGGAGTGAGGCACCGCGCAGATCTGAGCGAGACCTCGCCGTCCTTGGGGGGCTGCGAAACTGTCGCAACTTTCGAAAACTGCTGGTGGTGCAACAAGGAGGTTGCATTTGAGACGCGTTTTATTCCTCATATGTAGTGCCACCCGTGTTCTGTTGCTCCCTGTTTTGAAAGGGGTGCAGGGGCATGGTGTGCTCGGTATGGTGGAACAAAGAGGTTGCATTTGCGACGCGTCTTTTTCCTCATCTGTGGTGTCATTTTGCTCTGGGGGGGGGAACTTTCGAGGGCTGCTGGTGGGTCCAGCGGAGTGAGGCACCACGTAGATCTGAGCGAGACCTCGCCTTCTCTGGGGGGGGGGGGGGGGGGCTGCGATCTGCGAAACCGTCGCTCCTTTCGAGGGCTGCTGGTGGGTCCAGCGGAGTGAGGCACCGCGCAGATCTGAACGAGATCTCACCGTCCCTGGGGGGGGGGCGCGATCTGCGAAACCGTCGCCACTTTCGAGGGCTGCTGGCGGGTCCGGCGGAGTGAGGCACCGCGCAGATCTGAGCGAGACTCTCGCAGTCCCTTAGGGGGGGCGCGACCTGCGAAATTGTCGCCACGTTCGAGGGCTGCTGGTGGGTCCAGCGGAGTGAGGCACCGCGCAGATCTGAACGAGACCTCGCCGTCCTTGGGAAGGGGTGGGGCTGCGATCTGGGAAACTGTCGCCACTTTCGAGGGCTGCTGGTGGGTCCAGCGGAGTGAGGCACCACGCAGAACAAAGCGAGACCTCGCCGTCCCTGGGGGGCTGCCATCTGCGAATCCGTCGCCACTTTCGAGGGCTGCTGGCGGGTCCAGCGGAGTGAGGCACCGCGCAGATCTGAGCGAGACCTCGCCGTCCCTGGGGGGCTGCGATCTGCGAAACCGTCGCCACTTTCGAGGGCTGCTGGTGGGTCCAGCGGAGTGAGGCACCGCGCAGATCTGAGCGAGACCTAGCCGTCTCTGGGGCGCTGCGACCTGCGAATCCGCCGCCACTTTCGAGGGCTGCTGGTGGGTCCAGCGGAGTGAGGCACAGCGCAGATCTGAGCGAGACCTCGCCGTCCCTGGGGGGCTGCGATCTGCGAAATTGTCGCCACTTTCGAGGGCTGCTGGCGGGTCCCGCGGAGTGAGGCACCGCGCAGATCTGAGCGAGACCTCGCCGTCCCTTGGGGGGGGGGGGGCCGCGACCTGCGAAACCGTCGCCACTTTAGAGGGCTGCTGGTGGGCCCAGCGGAGTGAGGCACCACGTAGATCTGAGCGAGACCTCGCCGTCCTTGGATGGCTGCGATCTGGGAAACTGTCGCCACTTTCAACCGCGCAGATCTGAGCGAGACCTCGCCGTCCTTGGGAGGGGGCTGCCATCTGCGAAACTATCGCCACTTTCGAGGGCTGCTGGTGGGTCCGGCGGAGTGAGGCACCGCGCGGATCTGAGCGAGACCTCGCCGTCCCTGGGGGGGGCTGCGATCTGCGAAACCGTCGCCGCTTTCCAGGGCTGCTGGTGGGTCCAGCGGAGTGAGGCACCGCGCAGACGTGAGCGAGGCCTCGCCGTCCCTGGGGGGAGGGGGATGCTGCGATCTGGGAAACCGTCGCCACTTTCGAAGGCTGCTGGTGGGTCCAGCGGAGTGGGGCACCGCGCAGATCTGAGCGAGATCTCACCGTTCCTTGGGGGGTGCTGCGATCTTCGAAATTGTCGCCACTTTCGAGGGCTGCTGGTGGGTTCAGCGGAGTGAGGCACCGCGCAGATCTGAGCGAGACCTCGCCGTCCCTGGGGGGCTGCGATCTGCGAAACCGTCGCCACTTTCGAGGGCTGCTGGCGGGTCCGGCGGAGTGAGGCACCGCGCAGATATGAGCGACCTCGCCGTCCATGGGAAGGGGGTGGGCTGCGATCTGCGAAACCGTCGCTACTTTCGAGGGCTGCCGGTGGGCCCAGCGCAGTGAGGCACCGCGCAGATCTGAGCGAGACCTCGCCGTCCCTGGGGGGCTGCCATCTGCGAAGTTGTCGCCACTTTCGAGGGCTGCTGGCGGGTCCAGCGGAGTGAGGCACCGCGCAGATCTGAGCGAGTTCTCGCCGTCCCAGGGGGGGGGGGGGGCTGCGATCTGCGGAACCGTCGCCACTTTCGAGGGCTGCTGGTGGGCCCAGCGGAGAGGCACCGCGCAGATCTCAGCGAGACCTCGCCGTCCCTGGATGGCTGCGATCTGCGAAACCGTCGCAACTTTCGAGGGCTGCTGGTGGGTGCAGCGGAGTGAGGCACCGCGCAGATCTGAGCGAGACCTCGCCTTCTCTTGGGGGGGGGGGGGGGGGCGCGACCTGCGAAACCGTCGCCATTTTCGAGGGCTGCTGGTGGGTCCAGCGGACTGAGGCACCGCTCAGATCTGAGCGAGCCCTCGCGGTCCCTGGGGGGCTGCGATCTGCGAAACGGTCGCTACTTTCGAGGGCTGCTGGTGGGCCCAGCGGAGTGAGGCACCGCGCGGATCTGAGCGAGACCTCGCCGTCCCAGGGGGAAGGGGGGGGGGGCTGCGATCTTGGAAATTGTCGCCACTTTCGAGGGCTGCGGGTGGATCGAGCGGAATGAGACACCACGTAGACCTGAGCGAGACCTCGCCGTCCCTGGATGGCTGCGATCTGGGAATCGTTCGAGGGTTGCTGGCGGGTCCAGCGGGATGAGGCACCGCGCAGATCTGAGCGAGACCTAGCCGTCCTTGGGGTGGGGGCTGCGATCTGCGGAACCGTCGCCACTTTCGAGGGCTGCTGGTGGGCCCAGCGGAGTGAGGCACCGCGCAGATCTGAGCGAGACCTCGCCGCCCCTCGGGGGGAGGGGTTGCGATCTGCGAATCCGTCGCCGTTTTCGAGGGCTGCTGGTGGGTCCAGCGGGATGAGGCACCGCGCAGATCTGAGCGAGACCTCGCCGTCCTTGGGGGGGGCTGCCATCTGCGAAACTGTCGCCACTTTCGAGGGCTGCTGGTGGGCCCGGCGGAGTTAGGCACCGCGCGGATCTGAGCGAGACCTCGCCGTCCCGCTTCGATCCCCGTCGGTGGCAATAATGCATGCGTGTCCCAGTCGGCCGAAAAACCCACGCGTGGGCCCCTAATCTTGGTTGCGCTTCCGCGTGTCACCGCCGGTGGGACACCAGGCCTGGGATCCGAAGCCCCGTGGCGCCTCCCGTAGCCGAGCACGTGCGCGCTATCGAGTCCCGTGGCGGTCGCTCGGGCCTAGGGCTGGCGACCGACGCGGAGGCCCCCGCCGCGCGCAAAAGTAGAGCACCCCTCCACCGGTACATGTTGATTTTTGCGCCTCATTTTTTTAAATTGGATTTGAAATATTTCCATACACACCGCATCACCAGAATCTAGATTTATCAATTGTAATGCATTCACATGCCTTCAGTATTCTCGAAAAAACGAAGCCCGACCTCGAAAGTGCGAGTTCGAAACGACCTCGAACATGTAAGTGTTGGGGTGGGGCCAGCCGCAGCCCTTCTCAGAGGCGCTCGCGGCCGGCCCCACGGAGGCCAGCCTCCGGAGGCCAGCCTCGCAGAGAACCTCCGCAGATCGGCCCGCTTCGCTTCGCTTTCGCTTCCAGGCAAAACCAAGTCATACCACGCGCCTCCTCGGCAAGCGGCCCGACCAGTACAGGCCGTAGTTTGGCATCGCTTGGTATCTCTTGGAAGCGAGGGTGGTCAAAAGCGAGGTAGGTTTGTTTGCCCCCTATGCTTGCTGCCCAAGATGTGGCTGAGCTCAGAGATCAG